GGAGAACTCAGTTCTCTACCTGCAAGGAATGGAATTCTGCCAATACAGGCATGAGCTTGGAGGACAATAAAGCCCCAGATAAGAAAGCAGCCAGCCAGTACCTTGATACTTCAGGGTCTCGTGAGACCCTGAACAGAGAACCTAGCCATGCCATCCTAAACTTCTGACAATAGAACTGTGAGATAATAAATGGGTGTTGTTTTAAGCCACTAAATCTGTGTAATTTGTTATGCTGAAATAAAAGACAGTTTTACTTACCTAATACTGCTGTAACAAAAAGTACAAGTGGGTGGCTTAAAGAATAGAAGTTTATTGTCTCAGTTTGGGAGGCTGGAAGGGCATCAGCTCTAAGAGTGGGTCCTTCCCCGTCAGTAGTCTCAGGTGTTCCTTTCCATTAGTGGGCTTGTAGACGGTTTCTCACATGGTCTCTTCCCTCTGTGTGTTACTGTGTCTGTTCTGCTCTTTTTATAAGACACTTCTTAGAAGGAATTAGGTTTAGCATCCACTTTAGTATGTTCTCATTAACAAAAGCAAACATCTATTTCTAAACAGGGTCACATTCACAGGTACAGGAGTGAGGACTTCAACATGTATTTCTGGGAGATGCAATTTGACCCAGAATGGTAATTAATAGAAGTCATTCTTTGCCTTTCACCAAGACTGATGAAAGGTAGTGAGACATCTTAAGTACATAAGTTCAGATACTGGGTAATATACACATTCCAGTGGTCATACAGTAAGGAAACTATAAACTATGGAACCCTTTTATGACCACTGGGACATAGAAGTCTCAGGTGCATTTTTGGCTCTGGCTTCTTGTGGTGCTCACGTCCTGCTTATAGTAGGTGCTAGCATCTGGCAGGGGCACGTACAACTGTTTAGAATTGAAGAAACGTTCGTTGGTGCCAAATCACTGTGTTTAAAGGCTTTAGTATGAGGTGTGCATCCCAGAAGTGTGATTGTGTAGAACTTGTTTGTGTACTTTGGCTTTTGTACAGATAAGCCTTGCAAGGACATTAGTAGTTTCTTGTGTGTTGACAGTTGAGGTTTTCACTATGATTAAATTTTCAACAGAATAGCTTATTTTTAATAAGCAAGCATTATAAATGCACATTGTAGCATCCTTGACATTATGTTTCTTGTAGTTGTCGGGGATTTCTCTTCTAGTTTATGAGCTGCAAGTAGTTCCTTTGTGATAAAAATTAATTCATTGTAGTAGTGAATTTCCCACGACACAAAATCCTTTTGATGTTTGTATGTGCACACCAGGCAAGAAGTATGTAATTTCTCTCCTTGTGTATTCTCATATTGCTATTGAGGTATGGTATTGGTTATTATCCTGGTTTCTCAGAACCTAAAATTATTTTGTTTTGAAAAATTCTTCTTTAAAAATGTCCTCTGAAGGGTGAAGACATTCTACAATAGTTATTTTCTCTACCAAACAATAAGGATGAATCTGAGGAGGAGTGTGGTGAAGATGCTTCGGGTGAGCTTTCAGATTATAGACTCTGAAGCTCATTGTTATGGTAATACCACCACCACTGATATGGTATTAGAGGGTGATGAAGCAGTCAGTGTTGCAGAAGAAAATTTGAACCACATGATGCCTGTGATGAAAATAAGGAAAATGAAGGTGATGTCTCCTACTTTGAAAATACAATGAACTTGCTTCAGTAATATGCCAAAGTTTACCCAGACTTGACCCACGACAATACAGAAGTAGATTATGTTTTGTCTGTATTTGCAGAAGAGATTTTGGAAATTATAAAAGACCAAACGAATCTTTATGTGACCTAGGAGTGCACAACACAATATAGAGGGTAGGAGACTACCTACCCTAAGTGAAAAGTATACAGGAAATAAAGACATTCACTGCTGTGCCTATATAGGTGGGTATATACGTCTTGTCAGAGCTCGGACATTATTGGCCCAATGAACCTCTCCTGGGATTTCCCTCTGTTGCAGAACTTATGACTAAAAGATTGAAGAAACTGAGAAAATACACTACAATGAAAATTTAACAGCCATGCACAGAGAAGAACATGGATATGACTGGCTTCACAAATTAAGCCTAATTATCAATGTGCTCAATAGCCACCTAAAAGAAGTACATGTGCCCTCAAGTGTCATGGTAGTTGGTAAAACATGGTGCCAATGAAAGGGCATTCTTCCATAAAACAATACATGGCAATGATGCTTGTCAAGCACAGGTACAAAGTTCGGTGCTTGGCTGACTCAGAACTGGCTCTGTCAGTCAGTCTGATATCTTTTCCTTGATGAGTGTGGTACTTGGACTATGCCACTCATGCAACCATTCTCAATGGATTCATTACCTTTGACAATCTTTCCCCCATCAGGCTTGATGAAAAGCATGAACAAAAGTGGACTGTATGCTGTAGGCACAGTGCGAGCCAAGAGAAAGCGGCTTCCAGGAATGAGGAAGATGAAAGATAAATTACAGTGGGGAAAATGTGTTCTATACAAAAGGATGTGTGTCAGCAGTGAAGTGGCAGAACAGTAAACCTGTGACTATTTTGTCCATGTTCTACAATCCAAAGGACATCACTAGGGTCAAAAGAAAGAACAAAGATGGTCCCAGCTCTTGAAAAGCTCCCATTTTATAGGGCAATTGATGCCAACATGTCTCCAAAGAGAAAACATTAGTTTCCTTCAATGTTAGCTATAGACAGCCTTTGAAGAGAAACTTTGATTTTACCAAAAATTCAGCAAACTGCATACTTGACTGAAAATAACCTGCAGAAAATTAAAACACACTGGCACAAAAGTACAAGTATACACAAAATCTTTATAAATTCACATATTTTGCGAAAAGTGTACAAAGCAGTCTCAAGTTATTGAGACAATAATGAACATTTCTGTCCTCCACAGGCCACTGAATGACGTCACTGTACAATTCAGAGAAGGTATTCATAGAACTAAGTTTGGAAAAAATCTTGTGTCATAAAAATGACAATTCATTGTTGAGATTAAACATAGCAAATGTGTTAAGCACCTGTCATATTAACAACTTTATCTAATAACAGTATTAACCAGCTTGGTGAATAAGGTGTGGAATTAGAAGATGCATATATTTCCAAAACTGCTTCATGTCTCTACTTATAAATTAATTCACAGGACTCATGTAGTTGCTGTTTAGCAAAAGGTGTTAGCAAAAATGATACAAAATGATCTCTTGGCAATCTAGTTTCCTACTAATGAAAACATCGTATTAGATTAGGTTATGACACCCTCTAAAAAAAATCTGTGACATTATCATAGAGGAGACAGGCTTCTTCTTATACACACTCCAGGACATTACTGCTCTTGTCTCCTGGTATTACTTCTTCGACAGACTCACCCAGACCTCAGGGAATTTGGGAGCTGGCATGGCTTTTAGAACCAAAAATGAATGCAGAGTTAAAAAGAGTAACCCAGTGGGGAGAAGCCTGATGTGTGCCACAAAGGCTCACTGCTGAGGTATGAGCCAGCCACACTTGCCTCCTGCAACTTATGATTTAGGTAACTGGTTGCCAGACAGGAGCTGGGACATGTCACACCCAGATCTGAATCCTTGAATAACAAGCACACTTTGCCAGGTTTTATCCCTTTGTGCAATGGAGGAGTGAGGGAGAATAGCCAACAGTAAAAATCACTTTTCTCTCTTGGGCTTCCCAACCCTCTTCTTACCTCTTCATGAAACTTACTATTAAAATGACTACTCTGTCTGCACTGTTGTTGTCAGTTACCATCAAGTCAACTCCAACTCCTGGTGAGCCCGTGTGTGCAGAGTAGAACTGCCCCACAGGGTTTTCAAGCCTTTGACTTTTCAGAAGCAGACTGCTGAGTCTTTCTTTTGTGGAGCCTCTTGGTGGGTTGGAACCACGAACCTTTCAGCTAGTAGTCGAGGGTTTAACTATTTGTACCACCCAATACTCTGCTCCCTACACTAGTGGAAGAAACAAAGTTCTGCAGAAACTTCCAGTTAAGGGAGATTCCAAATTCAGCAAGCAAGGCTATTAGTGCAAACAGAACAGGTTCCCTTTAAGGTCAAAATGTTGTTTCATTTAGCAACTATTCTGGCTCTTAATACCTTTTAAGGTTGAATTTTCCCTTCCTCAAGTTTATTAATGTGTGTTCCAGACAATTTCCTATTTGGAAAGGGGAAGTAGGAATGGTCAAAAATTTTGCATTATTGAAGGCAAAGCAGTTACTTGCCTGCTTATCAACTAATCTGGAAGTATTTAAAAAAGTAGGACACCGGTCTGATGTTCAGGATTTTCTCATGTATGTGAACTCATCTAAATTCTACGTTGTTAGAGTAGCTTAGGTTTTACCAGGCAATGCTTACGTAAGACCAATATTGGAAAAAGTCCTTAAAGTAAGGATCTTTACTTTCCTTCCATCAAGGAAAAAGGTGGCAAAAATTCAAGTGTCAACTTCCCTTTTCTGGGAAGAGTTTTAGAAAAAAACTAACAGCTTACCTCCTAAATTCTACTGTTTCTTTTGAAATCAACACAGTATTACAATCAGGTCTAAAAAATAAGAGACTGTAAAAATATTTATATCCCTTAAAGATAGAAAAATCTCACCAAGACTGAGAGAACCATTTAAAGGAGGTGTTTAAGGAGGGACAGAAAGGTTCTTAGTTAAGTGAGGGTAGGGAAAACCAGGATACAGCAGCTCATACACATTTCATGCCATAATACGGTGAGGTTAGGAGGAGTGGAGGCCGCCTGCTCCTGAAACAGGCAGCTCAGCTACTCTGTATACCTGCACAGGTTTGCAAATGAATAGTGTGCACACACTGAGCTTTGTGAAATAGTTCTGCCTAGTAGCTGCTTTCCTGACAGGGCACAACCACCTGGCAAGCTTAAAGGCAAGCATTTTCACCCTTTGAATTAAACAAGCCGGGTTGAAATGAACCAGAAAACTAGCCCAGAACCAACCAGGCCACCATTACATAGTGCAAATCTCGCAGTAACAAAAAGTCATCAGAGAGGCTACACATTGGTCTCCAGGCCTAGTAGACGTCCCATCCGTTCCACATTCTTATCGATCGTAGCTTGACATGTTATCTCCTTGGCACATTCCATAGGAAACCAGCCTCTCTCTCCGTCTCGCAGTCGTTCCCCCTCATACCAGCCTGCAAAAAGGAACAGAGTCTGTATCAAGCAACAAGTATTTAGAAAAATCCTAACTGTGGGAGGCTCTGGGGAGCATACAGAGAAGATCAGAGACACTATCCCACCCCAGGTGGGGTACCATGTTTGATGGGAGAAGACAGTACTGAGGTGGAGAGAAGGTTTCAAGAGGGGATAAATGGCATGCCAGGGTCAAAGCATGTGAGCTTGGGCTGAGCTGGGGAAGAGGACACTGTGAATGGGCTAGCAGGTCAATGACCTCATTTTTGAGGAAGAACCTCTGGAGATGAGAGCTAGGTTACTGGGGGTCTGAAGAAGGAGGAAAACTTTTCATGGTTCTTTTCAAATAAAACCGTAACTGCATCTCTTACCCAAAACAAGAAATTAATATCAATAAAATAAATAATGGAGAGGCAAGTGCATATGTAGAAACAGGACAGCAGGATACAGAGGCATAGTGCCTAAGGCACTTGACTGCTAACCAGAAGGCTGGCAGTTCAAACCCACCAGCCACTCTTCAGAAGGAAGGTTGGGCAATCTACTTCCATGTGATACCGCCTCAGAAACCCAAGGAGGGGTCGCTATGAGTCAGGGCCAACTCGACAGCACATAGCAACAACAACAATAACCAACTGCTGTCAAGTTGACTTCCAACTCATGGTGACCCCATGGGTGTCAGAGTAGAACTGTGCTTCACAGGGTTTTCAGTGGCTGGTTTTTTGGGAACTAGATCACTAGACCTTTCTTCTGAGGCTCCTCAGGTGGATGGGAACCTACAGTCTTTCAGTGAGCATGGTAACCATTTGTACCACCCACTATTTATGGTAAAATATTTCACATGTACTCGAGTACCTTAAACACTTCTTTAAGTCATCTTTAGGGCACTGAGAAGTCACTGACTTGGAAATGAGAAGAAAAGGAGTAAGACCTGGGACATGTTAAGACAAGAAGGCAGCACATATGGTTTCACACATTATTGGGTCAGGATATCTTCTATAGAATATAGGTACTGATGAGAAATTGTGACTCCTCAGTTCTGTTGCACCCTGTATTTCTTGAATGCCAGCCTGGGAGTGTTCTATAGAATACTCCACTCACCATCGTTGACTCGCTGATAAATGAGGACCACATCTGCCACCTGCAGGGAGAGTTCGTCCGGCTGCTTGGCAGTAAAGGATCTAATGATTTCCACCTGGGTCAGTGCTGTGGCGGAAAGGAGACACACTGAGCTTCCAGTAGCAGAGAGAAAACAATAGAGAGAGACAAAGCAACAGTGTATATTCATGTACTCTTTCCGAGCAATTTGCAGCTGGCAATGATAAAACATATTGGGCTTCTATCAGGTAACATAGAAAGTCTTTTCTGGGAACAGTTACTTCGTTACAAGCTCTAGAATTTTCAAAGCTCGAAATCAAGAGTTTTTTGATAAGGAGTCTTTTAGTCATGTCACCCAATGGAGCAGAAAACAGCCATTTGGCATGGAACAAACTGAGGTAAGAAAGATTAAGTGATGTACCAAGGCCATGCAACCGATGGCAAAATTTTCAACACACCCCGTTCTCTTAGCTCTCACCTAAGATGCTTCCTCATCCTACCAGTAGTGATGTATGGAAGGGGCCAAGGTCTTTAAAAATAAAAGTCATTCCAACCAAAAGTTTAGAAAATATTTTAGAATTCTCATAAAACGATTCCATTATGGAAAGCAATTAACTTCAGTGATTTGATGTGACCTCTTACTTAGATAATCTGTCCTTTAATATAAACTCAATCTAGGGAACTTTCAAACGAATCACTTTGTCTTTAAGTGTAAAGACAGAATTAAAAAAAAATGTAATTATGGCAAAATATATATAATAATTGCCATTTTAATTTTTTAAGTATACAAATTCAGTGACATGAACTACATTCACCATGTTGTAAAACCATCACCACTATCCATTTCTAAAAGTCTTCCATCATCCCAAACAGAAAGTCAGTGCTGAAGAGAGGATTTTTGACTGCTCCATGATGTCCAGTTTTGCTGCACTGTCTATTCTTCTAGCTAGAATCATCCAGAGAACCTTAACATAAAGGTGAAAAAGCCAAATACAGGGTTGTCACCCTTTACTGCACCAATTCCTAGTTCTCCAGAAGAATGAAATATGTATTATCACTTAATAATATAATAATATCACTTAATAATACTACGGGAGCTCTGGTGGCATAGTGCCTAAGCCATTTGACTGCTAACCAGAAGGCTGGTGGTTCAAATCCTCCTCGGAAGGAAGGCTGGGCAATCTACTTCTGTAGAGATACCACATCCAAAACTCAAAGAGGGGTCGTTATGAGTTGAATCGATTCAACAGCAGTGAGTTTGTTTTTTTCTGTTAAAAACATTATCACTTAGTAAAAACAATACCAATGAAAAAGTAATTTTCTTTTAGATTAAACACACTTTATGTGTTAAGATTCAGACTATCAGTATGGAGAAGGTTTAAACTAGCAACTATTACCCAATAACAATGTCTAAAAATTAAGGAGTTTTACAGTTCAAGCAGGGCTTTCAGTGTATATTACTGAACTCATTATAACCTTGTACTTTATATAGTGATCAGAGTCCCTGGTGGTGTAGATGGTTAATGTGCTTAGCTGCTAACTACAAAGTTGGCAGTTCAAGGCCACCCACAGGAGCTTTGGAAGAAAGGCCTAGCGATCTAGTTCCAGAAAACTCAGCCACTGTAAACCCCACAGAGTTCTACTATGACAAAGCTGGGGTTACTATGAGTCCGAATCAACTTGATGGCAACTGATTCTGATGCACAGTGATATGTCTGACTTGCAGATGACTGAACAGGTTCAGAAAGGGAAGCAATGCTTTGCCACATTTACATAACAAAAAAGAACTGCACCTCGAGTTTTAATTCAGAACCCCTGACTTCCAAAACAGGGGTCACACTAGTCTGGTGTGGGGCAAAAGAAGGGAAGCCTTGGAAGAAACTTATAAAGCAGGTATTGTGGTAGCAAAATCCATTAATAAGAGTCCTGATGGTGCAGTGGTTAAAGTATTCAGCTGCAAACCAACAGGTTGGTAGTTGGAACCCAACAAATGTGCAGAGAAAGATGCAGCAGTCTGCTATGAAGATTTACAGCCTTGAAAACTCTATGGGGTGGTTCTACTAAGTCCTATAGGGTTGCTGAGGCAGTATCACTATGGAAGTAGATTGCTCATCCTTCCTTCAGAGGAGTGGTTGGTGGGTTTGAAGTGCCAGCCTTCTGGTTAGCTGTCAAATGCCTTAGGCACCATGCTACCAGAGCTTCCGTTGGGTTGCTAGGAGTCAATTAACTCCATGGCAACAAGTTTGGTGCTTTGTTTTTGGTTGAAATCCATTAATATCTCAGTGTCCAGCAGGGGGCAGAGTCCCTCCACGTTCCAGGGCAGCCTGCTCTTCAGCAAACTTACAGGTTCTGTCCGGAGGCTGCTTCCCGCTGCTGTGGCCCAGGGCGGTTATCCAGCGGGCTCGCTCACTCCTAAACATAGAGGGCAGGTCCAGTTTAGAAACTCACAGTCCAAAGACAAAGAATATTGTAGGTTCTAAAAAGACAATGCAAAGCCATTCCCAGAAAACAGCGGAGAAATTCTCCTTCATAACAAGGAAAGAGTTACTTAAAAATCAGAGTAGAAAACTAGCCATTATTGTGGAAAGATTCTGAATAAATCTGGTTAATAATTGCTGATTAAAAAAGAATTTCTCATGAGAGCTGAACATTTAGTAAAGAGCTTTTTACATTAATATGTTATAATCTCAAAATATTTAGTATACTCATTTAATCTGATGTTTAACATTTCAAAAAGATGTATCTGATTTTTTTTTTTTTTTTAAGTTAGTCTCTTCACTCCTTCCATTCCCTTTCCCTATCCTACACACACTCAAACCATTTTGGAGAATATAAACTTTAATAATTAATGTAACTGAATAAAAATTTTGCCAAAATATGAACCTTACTAAAATAGAAATTAGTTGTCTGATATTTTTTGGACTCTTCTAAAATCATTAAAGTGGAATAATCAGTTGATCAATAAACTTTTAAGGAAAAAGAAAATAGCTGTGACTTTTTATACAATATTAACCTATAATTAGATGAAATAAAGTAATTACTTCACTAAAAGATCAAAATATCAGATAAGCAAATCCACTAATCTATAATATAGTCACCCTCAGTTTTTTATCTGGAAACTTAAATAAGTAATACATACACATTTTAAAATCTGCAAGAAGCACATATTAAACACATATGCCATGTCAGACACAAGCACTTTCCATTTATTATCTCATGAAATTCTCCAAAAAGCACATTTTAGAGATGGGAAGACTAGACTAAAGCTGTGAGGTAATCAATTCCAACCAAAGTTAATTTCCACTGTACCACTTCACCTTCTGCAGAAGAGATGCCTTCATGCCCAATCTTAAAGCATTTCCCCCCATTATTAATAAAGGTTCTTCTTACTGTCACCCCATCTCCACTCTGTGAGGTGTATCTTTCGGCCAGACTCACAGCACTGGGACACAACACGTTGTCTTTCTCAAACACATGCATCTTTCTGTTTTTAACTAGCTATGCCCACTCATCATTTAAAAATTTTATTGAGGTAAAACATACATAAAATACACAGAGTGCACTAATCTTAAGTAAACAGAGCTCAATGAATGCTTACTTATGTATACCCACATATAACCGTCTGTCAAATCAAGAAATGGCAACATCTGTGATGTCCCAGATGGTTCCCTTTTGTCTCTTTCTAGTCAGCAACATCTCTCCAAAGAGAACCGCTATCTGATTTCCATCACTGTACAGTAGTTTTGGAGTTCCTAGCACGTGCAAATGGTAAATGTGCTCAGCTGCTAACCAGACGCTGATGGTTTGAGTCCACCCAGGGGTTCTGCAGAAGAAGGGCCTGGTAATCTATTTCTGAAAAAATCAGTCATTCAAAATTCTATGGAGCACAGTTCTACTCAAACACACATGGGGTTATCATGAGTTGTAATCAACGGGATGGCAACTGGTAGATTAGTTTTGACTGTTTTTGTACTTTGTGAAAATGGAATCCTACAGTATGTGTAAGGAGCTCTGGTGGTACAGTGTCTAAGGCATTTGACTGCTAACCAGAAGGTTGGAGGTTTAAACCCACCAGCAGCTCTGCGGAAGGAAGATGGGGCAATCTACTTCTGTAAAGACTTACCACTTCAGAAACCCAACGGGGGTCGCTATGGGTCGGTATTGATTGACTCAATGGCAGTGAGGTTTTTTTTTTTTAAATAGTATATATGCTTTGGTGCCTGGCTTTTTTGTTCAACATGTCTACTTAATACATGGACACTCAAGCCTCACTTCTTTCAGAGAGCCTCCTCTGACACCCAACTCCACACTTCTTTGCCCAGGCCTCCACTCTGCACAGCTCTATCACACTGCTGGCAGACTGTAAGCCTCAGGAAGGCAGGCATCTTATCTGCTTGGTTCACTGTATTATCTCCAGATCACTACCTGTAATCTGAGTATCTGCTGACTCAATAAATCATCTCACTCATCACATCCTGACCCACAATCATGTGTTTCCTTGTCTCTTTCTCTTCCAGCCTACAAGCTCCTGGAGGGCAGGAATTAGATCTTCTTTCAAATAACATTATTTGTGCCAGGGATGATGCTAATTATTTTGCAAGTATCACCTAATCTAATCTTCACAACAATCGTTTGAATAAAATATTTCCATTATCCTTTCCTTTATTCAGAGGAGGAAACTAAAAGTTTGGAGTGGTTAAGTGCCTGCTCACAGTCAAACTTCTAGTAAGTGGTGGAGTCAGAAATACAAGCCCAGGCAGTCTGGGATCTAAGAGGTGGTGTTCCCTCATTGATTGCCAGTGCCTCGTGACACAGTGCCTAAGGCATTTGACTGCTAACTGGAAGGCTGGACGTTCAAATTTACCACCCACTCCTCAGAAGGAAAGTTGGGTGATCGACTTCTGTAGTGATACCACCTTGGAAACCCAAGGAGGGATCATGATGAGTTGGATCCGACTGGACGCCAGTGAGATTTTTGTTTGTGTTTGCTTGGTCTAGCAGACACTTACAGAAACCATGTGGGAAGGCAGAAAGGGTGGAAGCTGCAGTGTGCTGAGACACCAAAACCAAACCAAACCAAACTCATAGCCGTTGAATCGGATCCGACTCATAGCAACCTCTCCTTGGGTTTCTGAGGCGGTATCACTGTGGAAGTAGATTGCTCAACCTTCCTTCCGAGGAGTGGTTGGTGGGTTTGAACCGCCAACCTTCTGGTTAGCAGCCAAATGTTTTAGGCATTACGCTACCAGAGCTCCCTGCCGAGACACAGACTTACCTAAAAGAGTAAGATGAGGCTGGGCCCTGGCTGAGCTGGTGTGCCTTGTAGTAATATGAACAATTTATATAGAAACTGATGACCCAGCTTGTTTGTCACTTTGTCTCTCCTTAATGCAGGACAAAAGACTTTAGAAGGAACAAGTAAAGCACAACTTCCTTTAATTTAATCCCAACCAAACACTTAAATCCTTGATATTACTCTTTTGGGATAAAATCTGTTTTCCAGTGAGGCTCAGCTGGCATTTCCACAGTGTACAGGCAAGGGAAAACAAAGTTTTCAGGATAGAAGAGTTGTTCACCAAGAGAAATCTGCAGGATGGATTTGTGCCTCTCTATGCCGTGCCCACCCAAACTAGGTTTTGGGATTACCACTGCATCGTTCAACGGTCCATCACTGCTTCTGTAGTCCTTCCCAGGGAGATTTGGAGCCGGGGAACCAGGTTGCATCTAAGCCTTTTCAGGCAAGACTCATCTCTGGCACCAAGTGGCCAGTTTCAGCGGAGGCTTCACTCTGCTGCCAAGTCTGCTGAAGCCCAGATGAAACCTTTCACTTGGTGGCACACTGCCTGGATGCTAATAGCATCCCTTAGACACGGCGGCCCCTCACAGGGCCTCCAGAGGACAGAACAAGACACTCCTTGTTGTCTCACTGAAAGGAGCCACTTCTTGAAGCGGCTTCAATTGAGTCACTCCCAGGCCCCTCTTAGATGCTGTCAAAATCTCACAACTTCCCCCTGGGGCTTCCAAGAGCCCTGCCAAGGACTTCACTCTCCTTCACATCGGGAAAGTCTGGGTCTTTAAAGCAGGAAAAGGACTCACTCTGCTCTAAGAATTCTAAGAACAAGAAAAACCAGTGACAGACCACAAGAGACACACCATTATTAAATTTCGTTCTCACCCCCAGGTCTCACTCATTGATAACTATTTTCTCCAGAGATGATACTAAATGATCAAGATAAATTCACATTCCTCACCACCACATCCATTCATAGATACTTCCCTTCGTCCTCCAAAAAGTGATAGAATTAGAAGTGCTGTGCTGATGTCTGTTTCTGGTGTGTCAATTCCAAGACTCACATGCCCGGGCCTTCCTTTGCAAGGTCCTGTGTCACTCGACGGCAACACGTTTGGTTTTGGTGCAGGTTGGGGATGCAAAGTGAATGAAACAATGTCCCTTCTCCTTTACAGGCTTCAGTATGAAGGAGGAGACATAGTGTGAAACACACATAAAACCCAACACAGCAGGTGATGTGCTGTGTGGAGGATGCTACTTACAACACAACTGGCCCAGGGAGAGAACGTTCTGTGACTGCAACCCTCTCATAACCCAAAATTCTCTACGTACATCATGAAATGCTATATACACAGTTTTCAACTGTGGTATGCTGTGATAACACCTTGTCCTGCCTCTCATATAATTTATTAAGCACAGTAGATTTAAACTTAGTTGCAAAGCTTAGTTATATGGCAAAGCCTAGCTTCTCATTGAACTACCAAGCATCTGCTTAAAAAGGTTAACATATATGGAGAAAGTGAAAAGTCAGAGTTGGAATAAGATGCAGATGAGACTGGACGGAATGGAGCCCCCACTGAGGGCTCTGCCACTAACATTTTTTTTTTTTTTTTAATTTCTGAGCAGAAACAAAGGACCTGAGTACCTCTTCAGCCTTCCTGTTATCCCTCCTAATGTGACATCTGATCAGATAATTGTTTCTCTTCCTTCTCATGGTCTATACCTGTGGTTCCTTTCAAACAAAGGGATTTTGAAACTTCTATACCAACAGGCTTGGAAAATAAAGTCCTTCGAGCATTTGTTTAAGCAGGATTGTGACGATACTGTTTCTGTTCATTCCCAAATACATTCGATTCAACTAGATTAGTTCAATAAACTGATTCATGGAATAAAACCCATGGAGTAAAAACTGTCATTTGTTACAAATACTGCAAGATAAAACTTTATAAAATTGACACCAGCTCAGATTACCTAATTTTAAAAAATCTGACCACAGCAAAAAAAAAAAACCTCTAGCCCACTAAAAAAACTCAAAAAATTTGATTTGCTACATGTTATTTAGGAGCTCTGGTAGCATAGTGGCTAAAGCACTTGACTGCTAACCAGAAGGCTGGTGGTTCAA